TAAAAGTATCGTTAGTAACGCTATACTCGTTGTGTAAACGTGTCCAGCTATAAACAACCGAACGAGAAACAGCTAAACATCTTCTAAACGTAAACAAGGGAAAAGATTCATATTCGCTATGTTTATATTTTATAATACGATATTAATATGTGAATATTCCATATTTATTGAATACAGTTAAGTAAAACATCAGTTTTATCAAAATTATGTTTATTTTAAATACAGCTGTACTTTTTGACTACAGTAAATGGAGATATGTAGTTTGGACAACGCCATATGTAAAATGTTAATTTCGTATCTCGTGTATGATTCGACCCCCTTGGAATTAGATTCAAAATTAGGTCTTCAAGAAGTCGTATGATACGCGAGTATATAAGGTAATATTTAATCGATATTTCGTTGGAAGAGATTTTCATTTCAATTTTATGTGATTATTATTACGTCATAATCGATATTTGTTTTGAGGTGGTTGAAAAGTGATCGATCATTTCGTATAGTCTTCCCTGAATTTTTCATTTATTAAGAGTACACACACACACACACACACACATATATATATATATATATATATATATATATGCAAACACACATACATAATCTCACACATCCCGACACTCGCAAGCGTACAAACGGATACACACATACGCACACGCATGGACATATGCAAATATACAAACATGCATACACGGCCGTATGTTTACATACATACATTATCGTTTAAACAGAAAAGGGAAGAGACGTTGATATATATATAGAGAGAGAGAGGGGGGAGAGAGGGGGAGAGAGGGGGGGTGAGAGAGTGAGAGAGAGGGAGAGAGAGTGTGAGGGACGGAGAAAAAGAGAGGTAGGGAGAGAGAGCGAGCAAGCGAAGGACAGTGAGCGTAAAGGTGAAGGAAAGAAAGAAAGAAGGAAGCATAGAAAGAAAAAATGAAAAAGGAGAGTGAGAGAAACGTTGAAAGAGAGTAGGAAGAAGGTAGAGAGAGAAACGAGAGAGAGGGTCGAAGAGTGAAGGAGGAAGAGAGAGAAGGAGAAAAGTTGAAAGAGAAGAAGAGCATGGTAGAGAGAAAAAAATAAAGTTAAGGGTAATGGAAAGAGAAAGCAAGTGCATGAGCAGGGGGAGGCGAGAGAGGGAATGTGGGAATGAGAGGTGAAAAAGAGAAGGAGAATGGGAGAGAGAATAAGTAAAAGTTAAAAGAGCGAAAAAGAAAGAGAGAGAGAGAGAGAGAATAAAATTGAGAGAGAGGAAGTGGTTAAAGAGAGTGGGAAAGAACAAGAGTAAAGGCGGAAATAGGTGAGAGTGAGAGAGAGAAAGAGAAAGAGAGAGAGGAGATATGTAGAGAGGGTGAAAATGAGAAAGAGTAAGGGAAAATACGAAAGGAACAGAGACTGATTTGTTTTTTACGGCTTATCAACCCCACTTTGTGGGTTATTTAAAGCCGAATCATATTTCAGATTGCAGGAGGCTGCTTGCAGTACCAGGTCTCCTCAATCGGTCCCCCGTCCAAGTAATGACCAGGCTCGATGCTGCTTAACTTCGGTGATCGGTGTTTTCAGCTAGATTTTGACTGTAGACAAGGAAAAGAGATAGATAGATAGATAGATAGATAGAGAGAGAGAGAGAGAGAGAGAGAGAGAGAGGGAGAGGTGAATAAAATGAAAGTGAGAATAATGAAAGGGGATAGAGACAAAGAGAAAATGTGAAAGAGACAATGAGGAAAAGAGAGAGATAAAAAAAATGTGAAAGTGGGGAGGAAGAGGGATAGTGAGAAAGCGAACTAGAGTGAAGGGGTAACGATAGAAGCAGAGGGAGGGAAGAGAGAATTAAAAAAAAACGAAAGGGAGGCTCATAAGAGAAAAAGAGAAATGGAGGAAAATATGAAAACAAACAAATATATGCGGGAAGAAAAGAGAGAACTATAATAGTGAAATGAAAAAAAAAAAACAACAAAATTCAATAATATCAGGGCACTAACGATGGTGGCTCTCCACGATTTCCTGTACTTTGTAGCTTGAAGTAAGGCTTGCATTTTTGCTATATCTCCTAATCCCGGTTCTGTCAACCATTTACTTACTTTAATATATTATTTAAGTGTGTTTGTTGCTTTTTTTCTGTCCTGTGAGGGTCACATTCTCCAAGCCCTCTTTCCTCATTATGCGACCTACAAATTTCAGCTGTCTCTGTCAAAGGTTAAGTATAAGTGTGTTTTTTTGTTTCCATTTTCTCTAAAATTCCATTATATATCAAATCACATGTTCAGTTCTTCATATACTCAACGTCCTTCTGTACAATATAATTTCTGTTGAGTCAAGTTTCTTTATCTATGAGGAGATTGTCCAGAATACACTGCCATATCGGAGGACTGATATTACTTAATAGTTCAGTACACTTTTCCTTGTTTCTCTTGCTTCAAGTCTTTTTTTCATCTGTGAGGAGATTCTCTCTTTACTGCCATATAGGATGACTGATATTACATAAAATTTTGTTTATATTTTTTGTTTTTTTTAAGCGTTTCACCCCAAGCAAGGCGGGAAGCCACTAGGACGCAAGGGGTTACAGAATATTTGGAGCAAGATCAGATAGAAGTGATAGAGGAAAGGATGAGGAGAAGGATAGTAGATAGATCAAGGCAACTGGAGATGTCGATTGACTATACATTTGAATAGTTGGAGATTATAGCTCTCAGAAAAACTGGAATAGAGAAGGGAGTTCCACAGGCGAGAGGTGCGAGACATGAAGCTATTGGAGTAGAAGAGACGGCTACATTTAATAGTTTCAACAGTGAAAGGGTGAGAGCAGGATGCGAGCCTCGTAGGGCGCTTGAATTCATGAAGTCTGGGAACCAGCGAATGCAGCTCCTCGGAGCAATTACCATGAAAGTATTTGTAAAAAAGACAGAGAGAGGCGACGGCGCGTCTGTGAGAGAGCGACTGTAGACGAGATGCCAGAACAGGGCTAATTATATTGCATATCCGCCTCTGGAGCTTATCAAGAACCCCGAGGCAAACAGAAGGGGCACCAGACCATATATGGCAGCAATACTCCATGCAAGGGCGAATTGTTCAGTAAGCTCTTTGTTTCTCTCGCTTCAAGTCTCTATTTCATCTGTGAGGAGATTTTCTAACATTCATTGCTATATAGGATTACCGATATTACATAACAGAACAGTAAGTTTTTCTTTGTTTCTCTTGCCTCAAGTCTCTTCTTTATCTGTAAGGAGATTGACCAGCATTCACTGCCATATAGGAGGACTGATATTACATAACAGTTTAGTGCTCTTTTCTTTGTTTCTAACGAAATTTTCCTGTTAATTAATACTTTGCTTAGTTTTTAGAAGACATCTTTCGCTATCTCACCGCACCTTCAGATTTCGATATCGTATTTTTCATCCTGTGTTAAGGCAATTCCTAGATATTTAAATACTTGTACTTGCTTGATTTTGGTGTCGCTAATGCGTAATTTGCATGTTGGGATGTTTCTTTTACTATCTTATTACAATTGACATTTCTTCTCGTTTAACTTTGCAATCTTCAAGTAGGTGTTTTTGTAGTTTGATTTCTGTGTCATCCGCATATTTAATGTTGTTTAGATTGTGTCCGCCAATAATGCGCTCTGGTAGGACTACTAATTCTTTCAGGATCGCCACACTGTAAAGACTGATTATGCCAGGTGAGACGACACATGCTTTTCTTAAGCGCATTTTATTTTTGTGGACTTAAAAGATACTTTTCCTTGTCGTAGCTTCTTACAAAAGAAAATGGTAAATTAAATTTATCAACTCTTGTTGGATCAATTAATATTGAATTTGGTCTTGTTTATACTTACATCTATACATAAACCTTTGACGTGTTTATAGTTGAATCTATATAGGTAAACGTTGGCTGGTTTTATTCTTAAATCTCTTGGTAAAAAGAGGTCGGTTTTATAGTTGAGTTTGTAGATAAACTTTGATGAAGTTTTATATAATGTAAGCATTGATCAGGTTTATATTCTTGTAGGACAACTAATTCTTTCAGGATCACCACACTGTAAAGACTGATTATGTCAGGTGAGACGACACATGCTTTTCTTAAGCTGCTTTCAATTTTTGTGGATTTAAAGGATACTGAGCCGTTACGTGACATCTGTCCTTTACGACAGCGAATGGTGGACGATTTCCTCAAGGATGAAGAAGAGACTCGAGGTGACGGAGATGTAGTTCTACAAAAGGATGCTGAGGATTTCGTGGACCGAGCAACGATGAGGTCTTGGAGAGGATGCAGACAAGGAGGGGTTCATGCTTAACATCAAGAAGAGGCAGCTGATCTTTCTGGGACACATAATGAGAAAAGAGGGCCTGGAGAATCTGATACTCACGGGTCAAATAGAGGGAAAGAGAGACAAAGGAATACAACGCATGACATACCTAGCGGGCTTAAACAACTGTATGACAGAACGTGGTCTGGGGGAGGTGGCAGTAGGAACTTGTAGAGAGTTGCAAGGGATAGAGAGAGGTGGAGAACCATGATCGGCTACGTCCTTAAAGGACATGGCACATAAAAAGAAAAGTTCACTAGTGAATGTTTGGAGATTTCCTCATAGATGAAGAGACTCAAGGCGACGGACATATGGTTGTACAGAAGGATGCTGAGAATATCCTTGACCGAGCGTGTGAGCAACGATGAGGTCTTAGAGATTTTTCAAACAAGGGGAAGGCTTATACTTAACATCAGAAAGAGGCAGCTGAAGTTTCAGGGACACATAACGAGGAAGGAGGGCCTGGAGAATCTGATACTCACAGGTCGAATAGAGGTAAAGAGAGACAAGAGAAAGTAGCCCGTGACATACCTGACGGGTCGAGCAAGTCGATGACAGAAAGTGTGTGTGTGTGTGTGTGGGGGATAAGGCAGTGGGAAGGAACTTGTTGAGAGCTATAAGGGATAAAGGGAGTTGGAGAGCCATGATCGCCTGCGTCTTGAAAGGATATGGCACAGAAAAAGAAACAAGTTCATTTTTTATCAGTATGCAGTCGGTAAAAAAAAAATGGAAATGAAAATGAATTTTCGGTTGTTAATATGAATGACTAAAGTGGGAGTTCAATAAAAATTTGTTTCGATTTGAATTTGAATATTTGAAAATCGACTGGTCTTGAAAGATGGATATAAATCAAATGAATAGGTTCACATTTTGTTTGTGCATGTGCGTGCTTGTAAAATATTCAGAACTTCAAGGGAATACATGACATCCTAATCAACCGCAATAAGAACAGAAAGGAAAGACAAATATTGAATTTGGAAAGGAGATTGGAACAAACGAATCAAATTGAAACAAGGGCGAATTTTATATTCCGTGCAAATACTTTTTTCCATCGTTGTTCTTTTAATTCTACGAAATTTCTTTCTTTCTCATTTACTGTTTTGTTTTCTATTGATTTTACCATTTATCTATCTTTCTTTTACTTTTATATTACATTTCATTTCTTTCTTTTATTTTGAAATTATATTTTTGTTTCTTTACTTTTACATTTCTTTTTTTATTTTTAAAATAATTTTCTTTCTAAGTTACTATCTTTTGTTTTTATTTGTTTTGATTTTATCGTTTATCTATCTTTCTAGCTTTTATTTTTACTTTTTTCTTTCTTTCTTTCTTTCTTTCTTTCTTTCTTTCTTGTATTTTTACATTTCTTTCTTTTATTCTTTCTTTCTAATTTACTATTTTTTGCATTTTTGTTTTGATTTTATCGTTTATTTATCTTTCTTTTATTTTTACATTTTTTTTTAATTTAACAGTAATTTTCTTTCCTTATTTTATTTTGTAAATTAGATATTTGTTTCTTTGTTTTTTCTTTTATATTTCTTTTCTTTTTTTTATATTTACAATAACTTTCTTTCTTTCTAATGTATTATCTTTTGTCTTATTTTGATTTTGTCGTTTATCTATCATTGTTTCTTTCAGTTTTACATTCTTTTCCTTTTCTTTTACATTTTATTTCTTTCTTTCATTCTTTCTTTCTTTCTTCCATTCTTTCTTTGTTTATTTTATCTTTACATTCTGTCTCTCCTTCTTTCTTTTATCTTTACAGTTGTTTCTTTTACTTTCACCATAATTTTCTTTCTTTTATATTTACATTTCTCTTTCTTTTACTTTAAGAATAATTTTCTTTCTTTCTTTCTTTCTTTCTTTCTTTCTTTTTACTTTAACAATTTTCTTTCTTTTTTCTTTCCATCTTTCTTTCTTTTATTTTTACATTTCTTTCTTTTTACTTTAACACTTTTCTTTCCTGTTTCTTTCCTTCTTTCCTTCTTTTATTTTTACATTTCTTTCGTTTTGACTTAAAAAATAATTTTCTTTCTTGATTTCTTTTATTTTTACGTTACTTTTCTTCTTTCTTTCTTTTTATATTACTTTTACTTTTTCTTTTTATATTATTTTCTTTTTAATTTCTACATTCTTTCTTTCTTTTACTTTTAGATAAATTTTTCTTCCATTTATCTTTTATCACTTTGTTGTTCGCGTTTTTTCTTATTCCTTTCGTTTTCTTTTTCTGATTTCCTTATGAATTATTAGTTTCTCGTTGTTCTTTCATTTCTTTCTTTCTCTCCATTTTCTTGCTTTTATTATTATTTTTCTCTTTTAATCTCTTTGTCTATTTTTTCTTTTTTCTCGCACCAAGTTACGTTTTTTTTATATTCTTCTTCCTTATTTAAACAATTATCTATCATGTCCCTTTCTCTCTCTTTTTGATTCATTTTGAATTTTATGTATATAAATTTTTTTTATCTATATATTTATTTATTCATTATTTTTTCCCCGAGAAAATTTTCTAAACATAAGAATTGTTTACTCTCTTGGGAACCCCGTTAAATCTGTTTGATGAAGTTTACATGAAAAACAACTGGGCGCCATGTTTTCTCTTGGGTCCGACCCCATATTGAGCGAACCTAAATATGAAATCGCGCTGAAGTCTCGCGAGACAGCGAACGAAAATGATTGGCAGAAGAAAATCATGATTCAAGTATCTGATTGGGAAAATTCCGCTCTCCTTTTCAGCTTATAGAAACGAAAATTAAGAAGTTGAACATTGTTTAAACGAAAGACGATGGCATCCACGGACTTACAGTTCTGTCATTATTAGTATGATTATTTTTGTTTGTGTGAGCTATGATTTTTAAAACTGAGAAAGGATTAAGTCGATTTGTAAGTTTAGAAAAATATTTTAGTGATGTCCTGAGTGGGAACATTCCGCATTGTCTTTCTATAAGACGGAGAGTGCTATGAAGACGGTCGAAGAGAGAAGTCCAAATCTATCAGTCGGATTTTAATACAACAGTAAAGCTATATATATATATATATATATATTATTTATTTTAAAATTATGACATAAATATGTTATAAAATCACTACAAATATAGCCATTTTGTTTCAACACCTCCAGTGTCTTATCAAATGATGAAGTTGTTTTTTTTTTACATTCAACATCATCATAAGACACTGAGGTGTTAAACAAAATGGCTATATTTGTAGTGATTTTATAACATATTTATGTTATAATTTTTAAATAAATAATTATATCTGCTCTACTATGTATTGAGCACTCTTTTAAGAATAGTAATTGTTGGTTATTGGATTTTATTCCGTATACACCAATCCTATACTTATATATATATATATATATATATATATATATATATATATAAAATAAATTAAAAACAAAAGAAATAAGAAAAAATATATATATATATATATATATATATATATATATATATATATATATATATATATATATATATATGTAAAAATTTGTTTGTTAGAAAGATTCTGTACAAAAACCTATAGTATAGACTAAAATGAGGATCGGAAAAAAGGAATCTAATATTTAATATAGTGTTTAATTACAATATATGAATGTTTACAGAGAAGAATTAAAACTTTGCTACAATTGGATTTTCATTTTTTTTTTCTTAGAAAAATAATTTGTTGTTTTCCTTTTTGAAAATGTTTTTCTTTTTACTTTAACTGGTTTTGCTTAGCTTTTCATAAAGTTTTGAACTGTTTCTATCTCCACGTGTTGAAGCTTATGTTTTGTACCAATGAAAAATGAAAATCAATGGGCGTAACTGGCTATATATGTCATTTATGGTAAGAGGAATTTGGTAGAATCTATTTATGCAATGAATTAAATATGGGTTTGAACTTGTTGATGAAAAATGTTTTCTTTATTAATCTGCCTTTGTTCAGTGGTCCTGTAGTAGAATTGGTATAATGTGAAGACACTAAAATTTGGCAGGTTTTGTTCTCCGCATTCCTCTGTATGTTGGCTAAGTGGTATTTTTCTGGCGTAGAGTCCCCAATTTGTTGGTGATGAAAGGTCATCTTTTGCCAGAGTGACTGACAAGTTTAGCCAATGTAATGCTCGTGGCAACCTTTGCATGTAATTATGGATATTAAATTCTATGAGAAAGGAGAAATCATATTTAATTTTGAATGTTGATCCGTCTTTGAATAGAAATTCATGGCCCTAAATAGGTAGTTGTATACCCCGCAAAGTGGTCGGTTGCATTTTTTCACCTGAGGGGTTTTAATTGTGTTGTGCAGTTTTGCACTCGTCAGTAGCTTTTTTTTTTAGTGATTCAGGCTTTTCATTTTTTTTGTCCTTTAGTAGGATTGGTAGATTTAGTTGTATGTGCGTGTAGATTTCTGTGTTCTTTGGGTTGGAAGTTGAGATATAAGATGTAAAGTATGACCATTCCTTCGTTTTTTTCTTTTGTTTCTCGGAGTGTGTGAATGTTAATTTGTTTTGCTTTTTCAATACTATTGTTGACCAAACTTTGTGGGTATTTTCTCTTGATGACTATTTTTTCATCTCTTCTAGACTGTAGTCTCTTGGTTGGGTTTGGTTCATTTTGTTTTACGGCATATCAACCACAATGGGTTATTTAATGTCGGCAACATTTTTAGGATAGATTCGTATGAATAGAATATGTGTTGTTTGGTTTAGATTGGTTTGGTTTATTTTGTTTTTTCGTTCATTACCAAACTTCGTGTGATTATTCTATTCAGTAACCTTCCCTAGGTCACAACATTTTTTTTAAGCGTTTCATCCCAAGCAAGGCCATAAGCCACTAGGACGCAAGGGGTTACAGAAAATTTGGAGCAAGACCAGATAGGAGTGATAGAAGAAAGGATGAGGAGAAGGGTAGTGGATAGATCAAGGCAACTGGAGATGTCGATTGACATTACATTTGAATAGCTGGAGATTATAGTTCTCAAGGAAACTGGAATAGGGAAGGGAGTTCTACAGGCGAGAGGTGCGAGACATGAAGCTATTGGAGTAGACGGCTACATTTAGGAGTTTCGACAGTGAAAGTGTGAGGGCGGGATGCCAGCCTCGTAGGGCGCTTGAACTCATGAAGTCTGGGAACCAGCGAATGCAGCTCCTTGGAGCAATTGCCATGAAAGTATTTGTAAAACAAACAGAGAGAGGCGACGGCGCGTCTGTGAGAAAGTGACTGTAGACGAGATGCCAGAGCAGGGACAATTATATTGCATTAACGGAGACTCTGGTTTATCAAGAATCTCTAAATAAATAGCAGGAGAATCAGGCCAGATGTAATGATGAATTTCAGAAGGAGTTAGATATTTTCTGAAGCGATAGACTGAGTCGAGTGCATTTCCGGCATCTTTAGCAACGGATATATGTGAGTTTCACTTATATGTGTTCTGGAATGAACTTGATGCCGTAGTAGACGCAAGAGGTAAGAAGAGGAATATTTGGAAGTCTACTAAGACACAACTGCTCTTGCTCGGCTTTTTTTTCGGTTAATATTAAAAGCTTGGAGCGTTTCTCTACAGAGCTTAGTTAATCAATTTCGGTGCTGTGGTTAGTCTCGTCTTTTTGCCGTGATTGATACTTATGGTCGGTTCGTCTTCGATCTCAGCGTGTTCGGTGCACAACACATCTGTGTTCGTCGGCGGTCTTCGTTTTGTTTGCGTGCAGGCAATCCGGTGTCGGATTTCGTTCGATTGTTACTTTGCATGATCTGCGGTGACACGTGGGCTGGCTAATGGCAAGGAAAGAGCGATGTGCAGGTAACGCAATAACTGTTATCGGCGCGTAAAAATGGAGACGACGAGCGAGGTTCGAGTCCGTTCCTGGCCTGTTGCATTCACTTTTGTACCAATACCCTTGGCAAAGATACGTATCCACTTCTCTCTTCAGCTAGGTGGTTAAATAGAATAGACTAGGTTCATGATTCTTGCTTGGCAACAAGTCTACGAGACAGAGAATTCCGAATCTTGAGGATGGAAACGGAAGGCTATATTGCAGTCGTTTCTAAGATGGCATGGCAAGTCACAGATAATAAAGAACAGGAATATGTGGAGGGCCATGATCTAAATGAAGCAAGACAGGGAGGAAGAAATAAACGAGGAAATATATATGACTATAATCTTCAAATATTCAAGTGTAATGTCAATCGACATCTGACACCCTGAGTTTGTTCCTCGTCCTTCTCAGTGTTATTTCTTCAAACGCGCCTTTGTTCTTGTTCCCAATCCTCAGTAACCCCTTGCGTGATAGTGGCACTCCCGCCTTGCTTGGGGTGAATTGCCTTAAAAAAAGCAAGAGATTGAAAAAGAAAGAGAGAAAAAGTGAGAGAAAGAGAGAAAGAAAGAAAGAAAGACAGAAGAAAATAAAAAGAGAATTGGAAATGTTAAAATGGTGGAAAAGTTAGGGATTAAAATGTATTAGGGCAAGTAAGAGAGACAGAGAGTAAGCGATATTAAATAGATAAAGTAAGAGAGAGGGGTAAGGAGAAGACATATTTTATCCCACGTCTCCTTAATAATGTTTAATTTTTCTTATAGTCTCTTACGTCCAGTAAGCTCATGAATCTCAGTGGCTTTATTGCCTTGCATAGAGTGAAATGATTAAAAGAAAAACTAAACTAAACGAGGTCTGATCAAACAGTATCGAGTCAGTTGCTATGGTAACGGAGACGCTTGGCACATACTGACATTGAACTGAGTCGCACATGCACATTATGTTATATCATTGTTGCTCTCTTCCGTTGTTTATAGCAGTGTTGGGAAGGAAATTGTGTAGAGTGTGGTCTTCTTACCTCACTACAGAGTTTCCATAAGTGGCTATGGATAAATTATTGAGTAAGGCAACAGGAAATTACTCTAATATCGCTATATATATATATATATATATATATATATATATATATATATATATATATATATATGTGTGTGTGTGTGTGTGTGTGTGTGTGTGTGCGTGTGTGTACATTTCATTGAATACGACAGACAAGGTGTTTTTATTTAGTTTTTTTATACAATTTCTCATGCGATCTAATATATTTTTTTCTTTTCGGATGATAAATTATATAAAAACTGTCCGAATGTTCTTTTTATCTGAGCGCTTTCGGCTATACATTTAGCCATTTTCAAGGATTAAATATTTTAACTGTTAAATAAGAAATAGTTTGTTGTATGTATGTTTTATAAAACGGTTTCATTTTTTTCAAAACACAGTTAAAATATTTAATCCTAAATGAATGAAAAGATTGCTGCCTAAATACACAAATATATATATATATATATATATATATATATATATATATATATATATATATTTGTGTATTTAGGCAGCAATCTTATATATATATATATATATATATATATATATATTTATGAAAAATCTGGGTAATCCTTATGGGTAGACCCAAGAAGGATAAAATCCAGAAAGCTCAATGTAAATCCAGAGCAAATAATTTAAATAAAACAGACCACTTTAAGGTTCCATGTAATAAATTATTTCACCACTGCCCTTATATATATATATATATATATATATATATATATATATATATATATATATAGACATGACAGAATTGAATAGACGCCCACAGAAACCGTTTATTTTATTAAACAAGTAATTTATACAAATGAAGTAATTATAAATTTAATAACTAATACTTGGTTGACATCCCTTTGCTTTTTTAATGCAAGGACCCTTCTAGGCATGCCAGCGATGAGTTCACGAATATCATCTTGAGGATTTCTTGCCATTTTTGACGCAATAATCCTAAAAGTTCGGGCTTAGAAGATGGCTTCCTGTTCTTTTTTGCGGAGTTTTCGATCTAATATGCCCCAAAGGTTTCAATAGGGTTAATATCCAGGGACTGACTTGGCCATGGAAGTTTATTGATCCCATTTTGTCTCAACCAATGTTGCGTTGCTTGAGCAGTGTGACATGGAGTTCCATCTTCCATAAATAGGAAGTCAACTTTGCTCATTCTACTACTTGAGAATATTGGAAGGAGCCCTTTCTTTAATATAGGAACATATTTGGTTGAATTAATGTTTCCTTCAAACTCTACAAGCTCTGAGCAACCATCACTCCAAATTGCACGCCATACCATTACTGAAATTTCCCCATGTTTCACCGTTGGCTGCAGTCTTTTTAAATCAAACTCTTGACTATAGAGTCTCCATACCCATACTCTTCCACTGTTTAAAAATAATGTGAATCTTGACTCATCAGTGAAAATGACAGTGGTCCAAAAGGTCACAGGTCTCTCCACCATCTCATGAGCCCAATCCTTTTCTGCGTTTGATATTGGCTGGACGGAGAAGTGGTTTCCTTTTCGCAGCTCTGCCATAGTAGCCCAGCTTGTGAAGATACCTGACAGCTGTTCTGGGACTGACATCAACTTGTGTTGCTATGTCAGATGCCTTGCAACGTGGATCCTGTTCAACATTTCTTTCAACAAGACGCATAGTTCTTTCAGAGAGCCCAGGGCGGCCTGGATGAGGTTTTGTGCACTTCTTGCCCTTTCTGGTGAATTGTACGATCACTCTATTAACAGTAGAAAGGTGTATTGAAAGACTTTCAGATATTTTTGAAAGACTAAGACCACCTTCATGTTGGCCCACATACGTCCTCGCTGAAATTCGGAGGGGTCTGATGCTCCTTGGTTCTTAGCATCTTCCAGTATTGTTATCTGCAATTTTAATCAAATAATCTAAGTTAATTTCTCTTGGTTATTAAAAAAAATCAGAAATAAAATTTATCTTGCGTGTCTATTCAATTCTGTCGTGTCTGTATATATATATATATATATATATATATATATATATATATATATATATATATATATATATATATATATATATATATATATTTTGAAATTGAAATTAAGATATCATTAGTTAATGGCCATTTTAACTACGAATTTTAAATATAAAATTCACAGGATTTTTCAAACTGTTTATGGTATCAGTTGGTAGAAGGAGACCCTCTGTAGCTAAATGATATAGCCCATCGGGCTATATTACGGTTCCGTGTAGGATACAGGTTCGATTCCTGTCGGAGGACATATATTTTTTATGAAATTTTGCGTTAGTTACAGGTTCTGATAAAAAAACGATCGGAACTAGTACTATAAAAAAGAAAACTACAATACATATCAATTCGGCATTTAATCTCCTTCGAAATAGTCCCCTTTCTGAAGTCACACACTTTATCCAGCGTCGTTTCCATTACTGTAAACATTGCTGGAACTCCTTTTCGGTGATAGCGAGCAGCTGGTTCGTTGCATTCCCATGGATTACCTCAACGCCTTGAAATGTTGTTTTTTTCAAGTGGGATTTGTTTTTTATAAACAAAAAAAAAAAAAATCACAAGGGCGACATCTGAAGAATATGGTGGTTTCTCGCACCCGGGGTCTGTTGTTGAAGATGCCTCCCTGAACCAAATGACTAATTCTGATAACAATAATAATAATAATAATAATAAAATCTTTCAAAAATACAAAATCTTCATAGGGAAATCTAAAATATGTGGCACATGAGAACATCAACAATTTCAGTCATAGTTGGAGCCACCGAATTGATTGGAAAAGGTTCTGATAGACTCATTGAAAGGATTAAAGTAATACTCGCAAGTACAGCTCACACATTACGAAGAGCTTTATCTATGAAAAATATGCGTAATGTTAGGATGTTCTTTATTTATATAAAAAAAAAAAAAAAAAAAAATGATGAGTGGAAGATGTCTTGATGCCATTTTCTGACATTAGGTTTCTGGTTGAGACCCGGAAAGAAATGGCTATATATAGCAACAATCAAATGATATGATAAATTGATATGTACCGGAAAGGATATATTTGAACGAAGCAGACTAAACCAGTTTTCCATACTAAAAAAAATAGAATACGGTAGCAGTAATCGACTGGTACGCGTCGTAGTCGCAGGTAAAGAAGTGTATATAAATGACGTAGTCAATGAAGCGTCGTTATAGACTTAGCTCTCAGACTAAAGAAAGAAAAGAAAGAAAGACACAAGTCCGTCGGTAAATTAAGACGGACACCAAAGAATCATATTCCAGTGAGGGAAAAAAAGGTGTACATATTCCATTATATCAATAATAATAATAATAATAATAATAACAACAACAATAATAATAATAATAATAGACTCATTGAAGGGATTCCTGGCAGCCCATGCCTTATATAAATACAAAAAATTGTACTCACAAGTTCAGCTCACACATTACGAAGAGTTTTATCTATGAAAAATATATGTGATCTTAGATTCTTCTTTATAAACAAAAAAAAATGACAGTGGAAGATGTCTTGAAGCCATTTCTGACCTTAGGTCTCTGGTTGGGACCCTGAAGGTAAAGTTTATACCGCAGAAATCAAAGGAAATAATAATAATAATAATAATAATAATGATAATAAATGATAATAGATTAACCGAAGGGATTCCTGGTAACCTATGCCTTAAATAAATACAGAAAATTGTACTCCCAATTACAGCTCACACATTAAGAAGAGCTTTATCTATGTTATATATGTGTGATCTTATGTTTTATTTATTTATTTATTCATATTTTTTTTTTAGAAAAATGATGAGTGGAAAATGTCATTAAACCATTTCTGACCTTAGGTTTCTGGTTGGGACCCGGAATGAAATGTGTATACAGCAGAAATCAAAGAAAGAAAATGCGACCAATACATTGGATTAAATGACGGCGCAGACAAACCGGGTCTCCATCCAAAAAAAAAAATAGACAGAAAAAAGATAGGTAAATGCAGAAAAGAAGAAGAAAGGAAGAAAGAAAGAGAGAGATTAGAAAGAAAAGGAAATGAAGAGAGAAGAAAGACCCAGCAGTACAAAGAAAAAGAAAAGAAAAGAAAAGAAAGAAAAAGAAAAAAAAAAAAACAACAAAGAGGAAGAAGAAGAAAATGGAAGGGGTAAAAGAAAGAAAGAGGGAGGAACAGCAAAGAAACGGAAAAAAGAAAAAAGAAAGAAGTATAAAAAAGACAAGGGGTGAAGAAGAAAAAGGGAAGAGATAAAAGAAAGAAAGAGGGAGGAACAGCAAAGAAAGAAAGAAAGAAAGAAAGAAAGACAGAAAGAGGGAGAGAGGAACGACAAAATATAAGAGTAATGAAGAAGGGAAAAAAGGGAAGAGGTAACAGAAAAAGGGAGAGAGAGAGAAGGAGGAAAGACAAAGCGAAAAGAAAGAAAGAAAGAAAGAAAGAAAGAAAGAAAGAAAATGGGAGAGAACGGCAAAAGAAAAGAGGAGTGAAGAAGAGAAGAAAAGGGAAGAGGTAAAAGAAAAAGGGAGGGAGGGAGGAACGATAAAGCGAAAAGAAAGAAAGAAAGAAAGAAAGAAAGAAAGAAAGAAAGAAAGAAAGAAGGAGGAAGAGAGGAACGATAAAATACAAGAAAAGGAAGGAAGAAAAGGTAGAGGTAAAAGAAAGAGGGACGAAGGTAGCGGAAACGACAGAGCGAAAAGAAAGAAAGAAAGAAAGAAAGAAAGAAAGAAAGAAAGAAAGAAAGAAAGAACAGAAAGAAAGAACAGAACAGAAGGCGTGGTAGAGAAAAAAAGAAAGGGAAGACGAAAAGAAGTTGTGAAATAGAGAGGGGAGAGAAAGAAAAAAAAGAAAGAAGAAAGAAAGAGATATAAAATAAAAAGAGAGTAGGGAAATTAGAAAGAAAAAAAAAGGAAAGAAAAGCAAAGCAGGCTAAATCGTCATACACAAGTACAGACAGAAAAAAAGAAAGTGATGAAAAGAAAAGTGAAAGAAAGAGCGAAAGAGAGAGGAACAGCAAAGAAAGAAAAAAAGAAAGAAAGAAAGAACGAAAGACAGAAAGAGGGAGAGAGGAACGACAAAATATAAGAGTAATGAAGAAGGGAAAAAAGGGAAGAGGTAACAGAAGACGGAAGACGAGAAGAAAGAAAAACGAGAAAAAAAACAAAAAAACACGCGAAGTTGAAGTTTCAAAATAAACTAGTACAGAATTCTTCTTTATGTGCTGCATCCTCTCAAGACATAGGTGTTCGTGGCTCTCCACAATTTCCTTATCATTTTATTATTTCTCCTAAACCTTGTTTAGCCATCCATTTACTCAATCACACTAAGTATTTTATGCGTTGTTTTCCTCTGTCCCTCTTGCCTTCAACCTGTCCTGTGGGTATTACATTTTCCAAGCCCTCTTTCCTCATTATGTGCCCTAGACATTTCAACTGTCTCTTTCTGATGTTAATTCTTTTTTGTTTCCATTTTCTCTGAAATTTCGTCGTTGCTCATATATTCGGTTCATGGTATCCTCAGCATCCTTCTGTAGAACCATATTTCGAATATAAAACCGAAAGAAAAAAAAAAAAGAGGACGGAAGAATAAAGTCGAGTTTATTAATTCATACTCCTCTCTCTTTCTTTTTGTTAGTTTGAAGAAACAAGAAGAAAAAAATTGTTCCTGTCAACCTTTGATGATAGGTCACAGGAGTTGATGCACTGAAGCAATTGTATCGATCAATAAATCGATAAATTATTCGATTAATGCACATACGGGGATCAATAAGTGTATTGTCCGTATTTACTTTGTGATCGACGGCAAACAATGTACGGAGCTAAATTAAAGAACACAACACAAATTTCTTCGGGACATAAAACAGATCCCAAACACATACATGGAGAAATATATGAAGTTGCTAGCGACCACGACGCGCATGCGCACGCACAAACCACTCGCAAAAGGACACATCGACGTGGTTTAATGGTTAGCAAGCTTGTCTGGCTAGAACAATTACGACTGAGCAGTGAGATTGATTCTCCCTGGGTGCCTCATAATTACGGTCTTGTGCCAAATCTAAGCTAGGATTAGAAAATCATTTGACCACTTCGACATGATGCAATGGTTAGCAAACATGAATTGCTGGATTAGTTACGACTGAGATCGATTCTCACTGGGATGCTCCATACTTTCAGCCTTGTGCCACATCTAAGCTATGCTTCGTGAATCATTTGACCTCTTCGACATGATGCAATGGTTAGCAAGCATGAATTGCTAGATCAGTTACGACTGAGGTCTATTCTCACTGGGATGCTCCATACTTTCAGCCTTGTGCCACATATAAGCTATGCTTAGAGGATCATTTGACCACTTTGACATGATGCAATGGTTAGTAAGCCTGAATTGCTAGACCAATTACGACTGATGTCCATCCTCCACATTTTCGGCCTTGTGCCATATCTAAGCTACACTTAGAAAATCATCTGACCACTTCGACGTGATGCAATGTTTACCAAGTTTTTCTTGCTATTCGAGTTACGACTGAGTAGTGAGTTTGATCCTCACTAGGTGCACCATACTTTCATTTGCTGAAAATTTGACTCCAAACTAACATTACGTATGAAGTTTCTAGTCGGGGATGGGGAACGGGAATTCTGGTTGTTTGTATTTTATGGAGATCGGCAAAATTAGTCTTGCAAGCTCTCATTGGATACTTCACAATTGTTTCTCTTTTGACAGTCGAGGATAATTTTAATAATTATCAGGAGCTGACGAAAAGTCCTTAAAGTCATCATTTATTCAGTTAGCATTTTTGTTCTGCTGTGCTCATCACTCCCGTCCATTATTTTCTGTCCTTACACTTCCAGTTCACCTCTTAATATCGTCAAACCAAGGCATGGATGGTCGTTTCTGGCGCCCCTTGCTCTCAACTGGGCCCAGCAGAATGTCCTTAAGGATGCCGCCTTGTCGCATAATATGCCCGAAGTAACGGAGCTTCCTTAGTACCAGCAGATCTTTTTTCCCTAGCAGTTAGACAATAATTTTCTAAATGGTGTATATATGAGAAGCAAATTCGATCCACATTGGGTGCCCGAAATTTACGACCTTGTGTCATGAGTAAGCTACACTTGGCAAATGACTGTCATTAGCGTATCCTATGTTAATCAAATTACTATATAAAGAGAGATTCTTGATAAAATCCAAAGACAAATCCGCAATATCATTGGCCTTGACCTGGCATCTCGGCTTCAATCCCTTTTCCCACTGCTGTAACGTTGCCTCCTGGTGCCTTTTCTACAGATAGGTTCATGGTAATTTTTCTAATGGACTTCGCGCTCTTTATAAAATTGTAATCATTGTAAATATTCATTGGGGTTCCATTTTTAAAAATTGTGTTTTTTATTCCCCACAACTCACAGATAAATAGTACATACGGGTACTAGTTTGGTTTGGCGTTTTTTTTTTTTTTTTACAGCATAACAACATTAATTAGTTATTGTTGTAGCATACCTACGGGCGATAATGGGTATGTCCCCATTCACATGAATAAAGTAGTAAATATTGTATGTTGGTTTGCAGTTAGAGATTCGTCTCCAGCTGTGCTGGTCAAACTCTATGACTCCTGGCAGAGAGGATCCCCAGGCTATGACTCATCTCTGGAAATAGCTACCCGACCCTGTTTTATATGGGGTCTACAGGGAAATTTTTGCCCAAGTCTACCGGCTCGGATGCCCCACATTAAATTCGGCTTTGTGCCGCATCTGACCGCGAGGGGCCATTGGTAGATATCCTACAGTTGGAGATTCATCTCCAGCTGTGCTGGTCAAATTCTGTGCCTCCGGACAGAGAGGATCACCAGACGAGGCTATGTCGAAGGGCAGAGTCTCGTCTCGGGAAACAGCTACCCGACCCCGTTTTAGACGGCGTCCTCGGGGAATTTTTGGCCGACCCTACTGGCTCGGATACCCCACATTAAACTCGGCCGTTTGCCCCATCTGACTGCGTGGGGCGGTTCGTTATGTATCCTAGAGTTGGAGATTCATTGTGGAATTCACTTGACTCACTTCTAGCAGCTGACTACTACTTCTACGCACCGCTGGCGAATCTTATATGTGTTGTTCTTGTCCTAAGTATTATAGTTTATTACCAACTTTCGTTTGATTATTATTCAGTAACTTTCATTAGGTTACAACAGTTATTTAATGCCCGCAAAATTTTTATTCTTCAAAAATATATTGCTGGTAATATTTCTTTTCAAAAAATGTATAGCTGGTAATATTTATTTTTCAAAAATGTATTGCTGGTAATTTTTTTTTAAATGTATTGCTGGTAATAATGTATCACTGGTAATAATTTTTTACAAAAAAGCACTTCTGGTATTAAACCCTATTTTTACACTTTCATAGTATTTTGATCCCAGTTTGGGGGTTAACAATTAGCCCATAGCTGGTAACTTAATAGCTGCTACCACCCCGGGTCAGGGTGAACCTGGTAACACCAGCAATTAAGAGGTGGTTCCGTGCTCCTCAAAACCTCCTGATCAGTGGTCTTGCTGTTGGACGTAGTTTATCGTCTTACCCAGGACGCGGATGTAGTTTATCGTCATACCCAGGATAGATTGAAACTAGTTGGGACTACATAGAGACTTGAGGTATTATTGTGACTGTAGTGTGAATGGTAAGTAAGAATATTTTGTTTTGTAGTAAAGGATACTGTGTTTATGTTTGGGTCTGTAATCGTGGCTAGCTAAGTTTAAGATAAGACAGATTGAAGACCAGCCTTCCCACTTTTGGCCTTGTTCCAAATTTTGTATTTTCAAGAAAAAAAAAATTCTTTCCTCTGTGGTACCTAGACTTTTAGAATATAAGTACAGATCTAGATTGGCAACAAGGTCTTATCGATTTACAGTTAAATTTGCTAGATGTAACCTTTAGTTCTATGCGAACTGTTTATTCTCCTGTACTTCTCGTTTGTGGAACTCTCTTTTGGTTTATTGCTTCCCAGCCAAGTTTGATCTTCAAAAATTTAAATACAATGTCAATTGTTATCTACAGTGTTCTTGATTCCTCATCGGAGCAGTTACCGTGAAAGTATTTGTAAAAAGGACAGAGGGAGACAACGGCACGTCTGTGAGAGAGCGTATGTATGTAATTGTTATGATGAACTCTCTTCTATGGTACCATGACATTGTGTATTTAAGAGTAGTACTAGATTATCAACAAGATCTCTTCTTTTTTCAGTTGAATTAGCTAGATATAACCGTAAGTTCTATGCTAAGGGTTTTTTCTCTTGCACTTCTCGCTTGTAGAAACCTCTTCACACCTCTTACTTTCCAGTCAACTTTGATCTTGAAAAATTTAAACGCAATGTCAATCCTTATCTACTATCTACTTGATTCATCTTCTTTTATTGTTCTCGCTTCTTAATAATGTTTTTCGTTTTCTTATTTTTTACACTCACTTACCGCATTGTGTCTTAGTGGCTTTACTACCTTGCTTTATGTTGAAAATATATATATATATATATATATATATATATATATATATATATATATATATGAATTTCAAGAGGATAGAATCCAGGTAGAACTCATTGTCAAGACAGAGTAAGAATATAATATAAAATCTCAAACACTAATATTCCATGTTAGTGTTTGAATATATATATATATATATATATATATATATATATATATATATATATATCAAGTATAGGATTGGTGTATACGAATAAATTCCAATAACCAAAAATACTATTCTCAAAAAGTGCTCAATACAGAGTAGAGCAAATATAATTATTTATTCAAAAATTATAACATAAATATGTTATAAAATCACTATAAAAATAGCCATTTTGTTTCAACACTTTTGGTGTGATGGTGTTGAATCTAGAATAAAAGGTTTTAAAAGGTTCAAATCAATCAAACGCCCCTCGCTAGGGGAAACGCTGTTACATAAGCTGGAATGACCAATCAAAATACAAGTATATGAGAATTCAAAAAACTTGACAACGGGCTTTTAGATTATAATAATTATTTAATTATTTAATGTTAGGGTTAGACTAAAATAGAATTCATTCTAATTAATTAATATTAAATTATACTATAAAATTCAAAATTCAAAAATTACCAATGTTATATATATATATATATATATATATATATATATATATATAATATATATATATATATGTATATATATATATATATATATATATATATATATATATATTAAAATTTAAAATATG